ACACCCAAAGTTGAGTAAAAAAAAACCTTTAAAAAGTGAATTTTGCATAACAGGTCCCCTTTAAAATTAACTCAGGAAAAAAAATTGTTCCCAGCAAAACTTGTCTGTTTAAGAAAACTATGGTTCTACAGATACTTACAGCAAAATGTAGGTTGTGYGCCAGTTTGTTAAATATTTTAAAGCTTTGCAGAGTAGTTTAGTACAGACCTACAAGCTCAATGTGAAGATAAACATAAAAAGCATGAAACTATCAGAAAACAGACTATTAGYAGTACGCACCCCCACTGATGGCTCTGCTCGTTTGGTCGTCTGAACGCTGCAGTTCCTCCCTCAGATACCTCCTCTGCTCCTCTGCGCTCTGCACAGCTCCCTCCTCCCCACGACCGAGCAGCTGCTGCTCATCCCTCTCCCTCTGCTCTTCCTCCTCGTCGTCCCCCCACCTCGCTTTCCCAGACTGAGGCTGGGGCAGCGCAGGCTGCCGGACRGCTGGCTCGGGAGAAGGCAGCCTCCTCTTCCCAGCGTGGTCAGAGGAGACACCGGCTCCTGCTCTGAGTCCAGACATGGACGATGAAGACGGGAGGTTCTGAGATTGTGTTACATTTTGAAGCTATGTGGGCAGAAAGAAATGCAAACAAGGACGTTGGTCAGTTTAGACTGCAAAGGAAACAGCTTGGGGAAATCGCACACACACAAGCGAGAGAGGATCCTGCTGACTGATCGAAGCAGCACTTCCTGAGCATTAAAGGTCTTACCAGAACGTCATCTCCCGACACACAGTGCATCCAGCTCAGTAAAACCTCCTTCACATGCAAAATCGTGCCTTTATGGTCACTAACCTGACACTTGTGCAGAGCGTTCAACGAGAAGCAACAGTACACATCCATAGAGCTCAACACCTAAAATATTTTAAGTGAATCTCATCCAGAAAACAAAAAGCTGCTTTCAGTCAGAATGCGAACTGCTCTGCTTCTCCTCATCTTTTAAGTGCTTCAGGCTTCATGAAATTTGATCATCGGGGTCATTCTGGGCACAGATCGTGGCTGCTTCGCAATGACAAACGCTGACTCAGAACTTTATCAGAAGCTGGGTCATGCACTCCACATTCACGATGCAAATCACACCAACGTGAAGATGAGCCAAACAAAGCACGTGGATCACAGAAATGCAGTCATTTCTGAGAAGAGGCCGTTTCACCCTCGTATGCAAACACATCGTGACAGTTCAGAGGAACCTTACTTCTTCATCTGGGCTGTCACTCATCTCCTGTTCATCTTTGAAGTCTATATCTGAGAGCTCCTGAGACAGAAACACACACACACACTGCAACACTTGTTTTGTGTATTCTCTCTCATGATAAAAGTAATATATTTAAMAGTTACTACCACAAACCTGAGGTTTTTAGTACGAACACTTTCTGATGAAACTACCAGGTTGGACATAAGTTCCTTAAACACATTTTGTTGTGAACTTGGAGTCTCTRGGAGTAAGGAAATGTTRCATTTAGTCTCTCCTGGTGCTGCGTAGATGTCTTCATAATTTRTTTGRGTCATTTCTTTGCAAYCTGTTCAGTTTCCTCTATTTTCTATGATGTTTTCTAAACAATTATGTCAAATTATCTGCAACAGAACTGATAAATACAGTCTGGATTTACCAACTATAACKTGATGGTCTTCATTCTCCTCTGGSTCAGACTCCAACATGGAAGGTTGGATGGAAGAGTCTTCTGTTGACATTTTTTAATGAATTTGTAATAAAATGTTTCTGTGCAGTTTTATAGTCGTAAACTTCTGTCAAACTGGAACAGACCACTCTGGAAGCTGGAGGGGGTGAGGTTGTAAAGTGTCCCGTTTTGATTCAAAGAGGAAGTCGCATAAAGAGTTGATCCGAGACGCACCTCAGAAAAGGGGTGAAAGAGGGGCTTGTGGAGTTACAATAAGGAGGAATTTAGACCAAAGMATTGCAGTTCCACTTTATATAGACCCCAACTGAATGATTAAAAAGGATTTAAAAGCATGATATGTCTATTTTTTTGTTTTAGAAGTTACTGCTACTGTTAGTCATCGAGACATGGTGGGGTGTRACACATGCTGTTGAGTCCAGGTTCTATGTTCTTTTGGTCGGCAGCGGGTCAAGAATCACTCACTCATGTTGTGAGTTAATGTGGTGCTTGACACATGGTTGGTTCCAGTACTAAGATACTGTGACATCTGTAAGCACACACCCTGAACAGTTATGTAATATGAACAACATAGAGCTTCACAAATGTTTTGTGTCTGACCTTCATTCTCCCGTTTGACTGAAGCCTGATTGATTCCCTGGTGATGTTACTGCCTGTTCTAGAACTGTCAGCTGCTTACAAATCAAGTCATTTACAGACCCGTTACTGGTCTGCATGTGAACCACAATGTGTCACAATTGGAACATTTTTTTCTGGGTGTTGAACTCCCTCCTGGTCAGTATTTTATGTTGCGGTGGTGATCGAATTCCTCAATTATCTTGGGTCCTCAAAAACGTGTACACATCAGGAATTGAGAATATTTAATGACAGCTCAGCTTTTAGAAGCAGCTTTAAATGGTATACACAAAAAATATCTTAAAATGATCATTTTATAGTTTAGGTTTCCTCAAAGCACTTTGGATTATTGCTGGAACAAACAAATCCTGTGTTTGTTTACACAATGTCCCTTTAAATTTATTCTGTTTTTACATCTCTTGTAAAACTTAAAGTCAACAAGATGCTTAAAAGACATTTTCAAGAATTTAACRAATTAATGCGGATATGTTTTTACAGGAACAGATAATGGACACGAACATCGTTCAGAAGTTACTTTCAGAGAGTTCGGCTCCAGGTCTTCTCCCACCTGTTCAATGTCTCCCAGAGTGATGGGCTGTGTCTGGTAGCGAGTGTTGGCTCTGCGATGGCGTGAGCCTCCTCTGGTGTGCGTGACCCTGCTCGGTGGCTGTGCGAGCCGATTGAACAGCGCCATCTTTTCTGCCAGGCTCAGCGTGCAGACGTCCGGCTCCTCCTGACTCTGACTCCTGACTCTTCCGTCCATGGCGGGCCCCTGCGTCGAGCCCTGGGCCTCGCGAGARGCTCGCACTTGCTCCCGAGCCGCAGACCTCTGCTGCAGAGACGCCTGCAGGCTGAGGGGAGGACGACACCCAGAAGACGAGGAAGGAGAGAAAAGGTAGACTTGTGGTGAGCTGGGGGGGAGGCCCATGCAAGCAAGCACATGACATGCTACATCTCAGAGGACGCTGCAGATCTGTGCATCTAACAAACGTTTTACCATGCAAATAAAAATCAAAGTCCTGCATGCAGGGAGACTACGAAGCAAAACGTTTCGTGTCATTTAATAATTTAAATGTCTCTTAAGGAAGGCAAAGATCAAACTGTGTGCAATAAGATTCTACTTTATTCTATGGACCAACAGTGAATCAGCAGTCAGGATCAAACCAGTTAGTCACACAGTTCATGTCAACTGGAGCATTCATGTCCGTGCACACACACGTTTGTTGTGTACCTGTGGGGCAGAGCATTACAGCAAACTAGGGTGTGGCTATCTGCACATGTTACAGTAGACTGATCAGTCATCATTTGTGGCACATGAGATGGGATGCTACAGGGATGAAGGTCAAGGAAAGGATCACACAGGTCAGGTGGCAGAAGGAGTAGCACAAAGGACAGAAGAAGAAACATGACTTTCAGGTGATCTAGAAAATGGATAACTAAAGTTAGAGCAATATGAAGCACAGATGGACAATGTTTGGTAAGATGGCATTAGGTGAAAAACTACATTCTCTTTGGGAACTGAGAGAACTGAACTGTATTTTTTATTGTATTCAAAGTTAGATGAGATTATTGCACACAACTCCCAAAAATTGCTTTTTTTTCTTTGATATCATTTACAGAGTTTCTCTCTGAATCTGTTGCTAAATGCAAACAATAAGAAAAAAAAATAAAGATGAATAAATTAACATTGGAAATTTTTATCTAGACCAGCAAGTTTACAGTTTCAGCTTAACCTATCTTTTTTATTCTCCATTCAGCAAATCTGAGTGTAAATTTGTACCAAATTGGACTTCTCCATCCCAAACAGCTCCTCCAMTTATTATGTTTCCATTCAAGGGTGCAGCAGTTGATATAAGTAAAATATTGTGCCAACTTTGTTCATTAGCAAAGTTATTTTGACTGGTCTTCATCAGGAGTGAGGAATGAGGAGTTTTAACCATCTAAGAACATAACATTTAATGTGGACAAGATAAGGATGAAGTGAGACAGATGTAGAAAAAAAGACTTCATTGTTTGTTTTTGCTTCTAGTGAACAATTGGAGATGAACCAAATGGGCAGCTTCATTTCTTCTGAGACACTTATGTTAAAAACACTTGTGACCCTCCTCTAATGTCTTCTTGGATGTAGTTAAGCTTCAAACTATAAACAGAGACTCACGTGGTGGCTATGACTACTTCCTCAGTGGTGACGGGCTGAGTCCTAGATCGGTCRTGTGTCCGTCTTAATCTTCTGTCCACTGCCGCATTTCTGGATCGTGGCTTGGGAATGACACCATCAAAGCTTTTTTCCAGTTCCTGGATATTGGGGCAAACGTAAGTGAATAGAATTGATTACTCATCAYGTTAACTCTTGAAGGTGCAACTAAAATAGAGTAGATTTTTGTTCATTATTAACAGGTGCGGCTAAACCTGCTCCAATAAATGGTGGTTTTAGTGGAATACTGAATACATTTTATGATCTTAGCTCTAAATCTACAAAGTAATGAGCAAAGACTAATAACAGTTCAATGTTCGAGTCATTAAATGGAAGCAGAGCTTGTGCATGTTATTATAATGTAGTTGAAAAAAACAAAAAAAGAGTCTGAACCTGACCTTGAAGAGAGAGCGTTTGGCTGCGACACTTAGTTTGGCTCGGTCATCTAACGTCTCTTCATCGGCTACAGAGAGAGGTAAAAAAGTGAGGTGTTGTCAGGAAAAATAACATTGCACAATATCTTAAAAAGACCACAGCAAACAGAGCCTTAATATAGCCTTCAGAACAATAAATTGACATTTAGTTTTAACATTACAGTAAATCTAACATTAAATGGATCTAGCACAGTAACCTTTCATGCCAGAGTTTTTGATTTATTTTATGATAAGGGATGGAGTTGTGGATGTTTTGGTCAAACATAAATGCTGTTACACACAGTCTTAGTTCAATATCTATGTATAAAACTGACATAATGTATATAGCATTTTTTGTTGACCAATGTAATTTAGCTGCTGTGATCATCTTTAATTGGATTTACTTCAAAAGTTGATCAGTTGTCGATGTACATCCTTCAAATATTACTTTAGGAGTTTAATACAATTCAGTTTAGTAGTTTGAGACTTTTTCCAACAGACCAACCAGGCTGACATCAACAGTTGTAGCATTTGGAGTGTGTGTTATTAATTACTCTCAGATACCACCACTTCAAAATGTAGCTTAATATCTGTAAAACCAGCTGAGTTCTGGCCACCTTTGGGTTAGATAAAATCTCCTAGCTGTGGTCGTCAATCTGAACTGGGTTGAGTCGTGAATGCACAATGAGTCAAAAGTCACAGGACACCCTTTTATTTCAGAAAAAGGAAACTGACATATCTGAAGACCCCAGCAAGTAATGAGTGAGGGGGGTTCCATCTTTGGGAAAATTTGCCTTTGTTCCAATATGGCRATTTTCAAGATGGCGGCCATGTTCTCGACAAAACATGCTCTAGCCTCAAAGATTGGCCCCTTCATCCATTACTTGCTGGGGTATTCAAATGTTTCATTTCTGAAATAAAAGGGTGTTCGGCGATGTTTGATTCACTCTGTACATCAAAGGATTACTTTCAGAAAGTTTAATTACAATCTCTCTGGTGGTTGAAGATATACAGTATTTTGCTTCAGACAAACAAACRCAGGCAAAGCCATCAACCAGCGGCAGTGGGCGATAACATCATACTTTTTACTGGCAGCACAGAGAAGGCTATGACAGACTAGGCAGGTTGGTGGTACTGTGCACGCACGCACGCACACACACACACACACACGACATGACATCATCAAACAGCCATTTCCTCTGATTGACTTTTGCTGTGCTCAACTCCACATATTTCTTGTCAGTAAAACAGGAATGTGTTTATAGGAAGCAGATGTGTTGGTGCCCTCGGTGGAGCTTTTATCGTACTGTGAGACCCGTTATTAACTCAGTAAATTCTATTTATCACCCCTCAGAGTCAAGAAGCAGTGCTTTTGACTGCTCTGTAAGCAAAATATCTTATGAACTRCACAGATTCTTCAGAAAGTAATCATTAAATGTTCATTGGTGTTTTGAAGTCATGCAACTTTAGGATGGTTGCAATTCAACATTAGCAAATACAAAACTAGCAATTAATCTGTCAGTTTTACAGATAGAGCCAAAGTTTGAGTCATATTCATACTCCGAGCAGAAAATGATCCTCCTAGATTTTATATCACCTGAGACTGAATAACATCACTGAACAAAATACAAATTACATTATGAGCTTTATTCTAATTTACTGTACAGTACTACAGTTCATCTTAATTAGGACATGAAATGCACGGTTCTTGAAGTGCACCCATCTAAACAATCTCGTTATATACACAGSATCTGTTATTTAAATTTGTTCTCAAATTCTTGATGAACCATAAAACTGATTTTATATTATGACGTAAAACAGCTTACCGTCTGTGGAAACCAACTCTGAGTTCAGGCAAGACCTTCAAAAAACAAACAAAAAAAAAAAAGAAGAATGAGCAACTCATGCAAAGGTTATATTGAAGAAAAGTGATCATATCAGATGAGGCGAGGAGACGCAGTAGAAGTGAGTTGTTTCTGGTATGCAGGGAACATGACAGTGTTAGGTGGAGAAAAAAAAAGGAAAAGGCAAAGCAGACTTGGGGAGTGAATTCAGTCCATGATCTCTGATCCGAGTCCTAACAAAGACCGATTCATGCTTCTGCTGTGTGGTTGGTCACATGTGATGTCCGGCACCAAAGCCCAAATTAGAGGGACCTTCAGCCTCTAAGCTTCCTTGTTTCATAATGTGAGAGGGGCAAAATTAAATTGTTCATGTTTATTTGTGTGAGAAAGTCCTAACAGCTTGTGCTAAAAGATTAATCTCGTTATAATATTAATCTTATTGTGGAATCAGATATTATAGACTTAAAAGTTGTACAGCACACACTGAATTATTCAGTAATGCTCAACAAAATAGGATTGRAGATAATTCTCTGCATCAAAGAGTAACTGTCTTGATTTTTCTTCWTGCATTGACAAATGATTCCAGTATTACTCCGTATCTCACTGGGCAGAAACTTTTGGAAACTATCTGGCAGCTTAAAATTGCAAAAAAGTGAGCAAATATTAGAGTTTTTAAAGCGTTCTCTCGCTGAATTCTGTGAACAAGCTGTATGGCCATATTTTGTGAGGCCAATTTTTGATTAAATCATGGCTTAGTTGTGAACACTGCTTCCAAAACTGTATTTTAGGCAGTGAACATTTATTTACTCTTTTCTACCCATATTGACTTAACCCACTTTGTACCACAGTGGCAGTCGCCATCATGTTTATGATTTAATCTGATGAAGTACACATTTGAATTGACAACATGTAAGTGTTTTTTTAAGTATCATCAGCCTGGTTTTTAAGATTGGGGTTGATGTTTTCCATCAGAGAACAGTTCCTATAGGTGTCAAAATACAGCTCTTACTCTCCTCTTGAACCCCACACCCCCGGTACCCGGGGGTGTGGGGTTCAAGAGGAGAGTAAGAGCTGTTAAAACTGCATTTCCCATTTTCTACTTCTTTTAACTTCTGGTAACTTAAGATCTGATATTCAAAGCCATGTTTAGCATCTACAGAAATCACAGAATAGATATTTAAACTAATTTAGTATAAATTTACAATAATCTGTAAATTTATCAGATCACCTC